TACGTCACATTCAGTTTTTACTGATTTTTTGACTAGATAAATCTAAAATGCAAGGGAGAAAAATACTCAGCAAACATCAGTGTTTTAATATCAATAAAAGCCAAGCTTTATTTGATATCTTATTTAAATACTCTGAAATACTTCAATAATTTTGACACAGAAAAGTAAGGATAAGACAAGGAAATTCATCCTAGAAAATGAATGATCACCCTGTTACCAATGAAAGTGTGCAATGTAGTTTATTTTGATCTTCCATTTAGTTGTATAAAAATAAACAATTTGTTCTAAAATATATCTCAGTTATCTGAATTCCTTTGTTATCCTTATGGCAACCCTAATTGAGTATAATGACTAAGGTTTTCTCTTGTGGCTTTTACATCTATGTAAATGTTTCTCAATTGAAATAAGATTTTTTTAAAAAAAACTAACTTATTATTAGATCTAAAATTACTGCATACATTTGTAACATGCAAAAAATATTTTTTTTACTACAAATTACTTACTAATGTGTCATATTGGAAACACTATTTATTTCCCCACACAAAACCCACATGCTTACCAAGATTTGAAGCTACAAGAAATAAATTCAGTGAGACAGCTGTCAGTAACTTATTGCTGAAGTTATAAATCACACAGAAATAAATGAATAATTGTGAAGAATCTTTGATAAGAGAACTGATCAAGACATAAAATAACAAAACCTACCAATTCTTTCATCTCCCAATTAAAGGGTGATACCTTAAATTTGAACATAAACAATGAACAAAGCCAATTTTAATGGTACCAATTTAAGAACATCTAAGGATACCAAAATACAAATTAAAAAAACAACAAATTAACTTCTTTCATTAAAATGTTTTCTAAAAACAGTTGTTTATTCTGTTTTGAAATGTGTGTGTCAATACTGTATGTTCCTTTCTTTCTTTATGTTATGTTTTCATGCCATTAGGTACAAAAATGGATTTTTGAATGCCTGAATTTGATTCTTTTAGTAAGTTTACTGAATATGAAACATTTTCAAAGGAATTTTGAACATATTGCAACAACCGTAATCAACTGCAAAAGAAAGTCCCTCTTGAGGAGGATAATAATGAATCAATAATAAATAAGTAATACAGAATCATATTATTTTAATAGCACTGATAGAGATATCAGAGTTCGTTGCTTTATTTTTACTTTCACACAAGTGTAGGAAAAAAATCCAATCTGAAATTTCGCTCTCTGATCCTTGAATCCAGATGTAAAGGGCAAACATGCATAAAATTCATAAACATCATTGAACATACAGATCTGTTCAAATCATTAGAATCAAAACATAAAAACTAGAAGTTCTTATTTTGTGGTATAATGCAAGATTTCTAAAGCTCTGAAAGACATATTTAAGTAGAAATCTAATATAACGATTTCCTCCAAATGACAACCGAGTGGCATAATAGGGTACTCTGATACTTAGAAAGTGTTTTTTCTCACATTTGACCGTGAACAACACTAGCACACACAGTACTGTTAAGTATTTTACAAAAAATAATGTTTTTAGTGTCTTCCTAAAACTACAGAGACTTTTTTCTTTAAATGAAACCTGTTTCCAACAATTAGTTCTTTAATAAAGTGATGTGCATTCTTTTGAAAATATCAGCAGTTTTTGTGCAATTTTGATTTCGTTTCAAATGATCTCCTACGAAGTTTTTCAAAAAGCCAAAAATTTGTTGAAAATGAACTTAAAATTGTGCATTTTCAGAAACTCTCAAACAACGTTTTCTCAAATACAACTTAAAATTTTTCAATGGACATTGGCTTATAGAATTCAAGTTTTACCCTTCTCTAAAATTCTTAAACAGGGTGTGCCCTCAATAGATTTGTGAGATCCAAGCCAAGTCAAGGCAATTTTATGTTACTGAATTATTGTGATACATTAGTTGTCAGATATTTCATGTATTCCTTCCGAGTACTTTTCTGAGAACACTTTGCCTTCTATTTTAATTCTTTTGCTCAATCATTTCCTATGAGCATGTTGAAACTTGATTGCTGCACTGTGTGAAATCTGTTAGACACATGTGCACCGGCTTCAGTGCATCGTGAGCTCCTGGACTAAGTGTTAGTATTATAGCATAATTTTTGGCTGTGCCTAGGACAAGTGCATATTCACAAAATGTAACTATTTGTCTTATCTATGATTGACTGTTACAATTTTTTCCCAAAGAGAAAGATGCGCAGGACATGTAAGGAAATGAAAAAATGCACACTTTGCAAAATGTTAAAAAGACACAGACTTGCAAAAGGAAAAAACACAATATTTTTGAAGAACATAAAATATGTTTGTTTAAAACATGCCAAAATCATTTGTGGAAACTGTATTTAATATTACTTAATAAGATAATAAGATGTTTAATGATTTTTGCATGAACATTGTCAATTTTTACCTTTCTCACCATAAGCACAGGCAAGGCAGAGTAGAATTCATTACCAATTGCATTTGGGGATATGTACAATCCAAATAAATATGTATTTCTGTAATTAGAGCTTCAGATCATTGGCATTCACAAAAAGTTGCAGCTATATCTGAGAAATATATTGTGGGCATCCCGTGATAATGTAATATTTTAATTCTACTATTCTTTTCTAAAGAGCTCATGTTATAGAATAGATCTTATTGATTTCGTTTAAAGCAAAAATCTCCGTCTTCAACTTTGTTGTTTTTAGATGTTAAATCTTGAGTAAGAATGTATTTCAAGATCTGTCTTTAAAGAATGGATTTCATTCAGGAAAACAAAATTCTCTCTTCAGTATTATAGATGAAGAAAGACACTAAAGAAAATGTGAACTTTTGCAATTTTGGAAGAAAAAAAAATCAGTGAAAATGTGACCTGCACCATTTTCTTAAGCATTCTTCTTTATGCTATCTGAGGACAAAAGTTAATTAACAAGTGGTGCTAAAACAGCACATACTTTCTTGCACCTTACTAATGGTTGAAAGGCTAATTTTGTACAACAGACCTTGTCTGAGACAAAAATCTCTACCTCTATCTGTATTCTGAAGTTTTAAAGTATTTCTTTCCACTTTTGGAAAAATCAGGGATGTCAACAAAAATGAGACCTGCACCATTCTCTTAAAAGTCTTTTGCACTATTCAACAATGAAATTTAATCAACAAATTTGGTGCCTCTCTCTCTCTCTCTCTCTCTCTCTCTTTATGCGCTAGCATTGTGCACAGATGGACGGACAGTCAAACATTTTGCTGTCATCAATGTTTCAGTATGAAGGTTGCACAAAACATGGATTCTGAACACATATTAGAGGATTTTTTAAAAATATTTAGCAACTGGATTTACCCACTTTTTCCTAACCAGGGCCCGACAATGAGTTCTTGTGTTGAAAATTCACTGTTTTTCGGTGCATGATAACAATACTTTCTCTTCTTACACCACTAGTGCGAGAAAGTAAAACACGTTGAGTAATTTTTGAAAATGTCACTTAGGCTTTGTATAAAGTACCCTTCAAAATAAAAATACGTTTCAAACTCAGAGGGCCTCAGGTTTATTTAAATCAGGGAATATCAATTTTGAAGAAAATCAGCTGAATAATTTAGGTGCTAGCATCGACATCAGATGGACAGTCAGACACATTTTGCTATCAATCAATTTTTCAGTATCAAGAATCCCAAAACTTGGATTTTGACTACACAAGGGGAACTGAGAAAGTAATTTACTACATTTAGGAACAAGATTTATCCAGTATTTTGTTACCAGGGCCCAGCAATAAAAGTTTTTGTGTAAAAAATTTGCTGTTTTCTGGCACACTATTACCACATTCTCTTCTTAAGTGCGAGAAAGTAAAAATCTATTAGTAGAATGAGTACTGCAAAAAGAGAAAATGAAACATTACAACAAATGAAGATCGAAGGAAAATGTGGAAGAAAACATCTCTCTCCTTGTGGCAGCAGAAAATTGAAACTTTAGCTTTTAAAAATGGAAAATACTTTAAAGAATTAAGTGTGAAAATTGTTGTGCATGAAGCATGATTGCTCCAGGAAGTGTGAGAAGAATTCCTGATGAAGTGTGAAATATGTGAAACAAAGTGTTCAACATCCACCATCGATTATAGTGTGGAGCATAAGGTCTTCTACGAGTTCTGAGAGTTTCTACAAAGAGATGAATGAAACAAGAGCAATACTTAGAAGTTCTTAAGGAAGAACTACTGCCAAAGGCTGCAAACTGGCGTTCATGGTTATGCTCAAAGCGCACCCTGCCGACTTGCTATAACTGTCAAAAAATTCCTCATTGGGAAGATATTAGTGTACTTCCAAGGACAGGGAACAGTCCAGTCCTGAACTTGATAGAGCATCTTTGGAGCTTTATGAAGGATAACTTTTCAATCAAACATCAGTTGATTGAGGTGCACCAGAGACTATTTTTGAAGCTCCAGTGCACTAAACCTATAAAAATCATTCAACAATGACTGAACACCTTGCTAAATAATATGTGATTCCACCCAAAATACTAATACTTGTGATTGTTCTTAAAAAGTATTAGTACACAATATATTTCCTAATACGTATTTCTTTTAAAAAGGTATATTATTTATTGACATTGAAAAACTTGTTTCAGTCTTCACAAATGTATTGAATTGTAATTGCTTGGTGTAGAAATATGTTTTATGGTGTTTTATTGCTTGAGAAATAAAATTCAATGAAAATCAAACACTGAGTCTAACAATTTGAACTAATCTATGCTTATGCATACCTGTATACAAAAAATAAAGTAGGAAACAATTTAATATTTGTACATGCAGCATGTAAATCAAATTTCCAAATGATGGACAAGAAACTGAATGGTTACACAGCAGACAAAACATTTTTTTCCCTTTCTTCTAGCTTATAATCAGAGGTAGTGAAGAAGGTTTGATTATCATCATCCTCAGATAACTTCATAAATCAAACAAACTTTCTTACTAAAAATGAAAAAAAATGTTGCAACGAACTCTTACTTATTAACAAAGCTTACCTGAATTTGCTGTAAAGCATGGGTAACAAATGCTTGATGCTGTGCCTGGTAACCATCGTAAGTTTGTTTCGATGAAGCGGTAATGGGTGTAATAACTGCAGCATGTTGAGTAATAAGACCTGCTTGGTACTCAGACCATGATCGAGAAGGGTTTTTGAGTTTCTCCACAATAGAAGCATCAAAATAATTGTTCTTTGACTCCCAAAGATTTAAAAGCTGAACAAAATAAGAGTAAAAATGTATTCTTCTAAATAATGAAAATCACATTATGTAAAATCCTCTTTCAACACCTCTAACAAACAGCCTACACCCTCATTATTCATGAACAAATTAGGGAAAAGTACCTTATTCAATTTGTTTTGTTGCTCTTCTGTAATTCCAATAGCGGTATTACAAAACATTGGGACCACCACACCTTCCAGAGCCTTTTTCAAATCTTCATTGTTTTTTCTTGCACTAAAAAACAGAATTGGAATTCATAATCATAGATTTTAATAAGTATAACATAAAAATATAGAAAACTTTTTGGCACATACCAGTGATGCAGAACGTCATTGACTAAATAGATAATATGCAACTTCTGTGTGAAAGGCGCCCCTGGATTGATTACTCTGGAAAGTAAGGTGCATGGGCATGCAATTAAAAGGCTCTGATGTAACACGCACAATACGAGGGTCTGTTGACACCTGCTGGTCACTCACTTCTTGAGGAGATACTGAGCTAAGACTAGATCAGCCTTCGGGGAAGTGGAATGTTGCAGAATCCATCCTTTGCCAGATGAAATGGAATCCTTTGTACATGAATCAATTATGGGCTGCAGCACAGAATCAAGTTCAGTGAAGTTGATACCAGCTTCATCACCAGCACTCTGTAAGGCATCCTGCTGAGCCTTACGAAGTGCATCCTCAATCTGGCTTTGCTGCTGTTGCATCAGGACCTGTAAATGAAATACATATACGATTAGATATGTTAACAAATGAAACACGCTTTCTGCATAGCTCCCAAAGTGAAGTCAACACTTTCATTTCACTAAAATATAAAAATTATAGTAGAAATTAAAGATGGAAATAGCTTTCAAATATATTTACTAAAATACCACTTTGCAGACTGCTTTAGCAAGAACTTTTGATAGCTGCAATACACCTTCGATATGGTAAACAAATCCTATGACAAATAATACAAGAGACTTAAATGGTTTCAAATGACACAGTAAGACACAACAGGTACCTTTTTTATTTTTCATATATTGCATTACCTACATTGGCAGAACATGCTAATCTAATGCAACACTTATGAGCTTCCAATGAAAACTTTATACATAAGCGTTTGTGGATTTTGACTTCAAAAATTACTGATCTCAATAAAGATGATAATTATATACTTTGAGTTAAGAATGTATTGGGACACAACGTGTGACAAGTTTATCTACAGGATGTCTTACTACTTGACACTAATAATTACAGATTGGAGATGATATCACCCGTTGATATTCTAACAATTCCCATGTTAAGGAGGGTATTAATTTTGTACATAATTTATCACACTTACTGTATGCTGGGCAGCCAGGTTTTGCTCACTTTGCCGAATCTGTTCTTGAAGTTGGCTCTGCTGCAAGCTTAATGATTCAAGTGAAAGATTTGCTCCCGCAACAACTGTTGGCTGAGGAGGAGGAGGAGGAGGAGGTTGCGGTTGTTGCTGTTGTTGCTGTTGCTGCTGCTGTTGTTGCTGCTGCTGTTGCTGCTGCTGAGCCACAGCCAACCATTGTGCAGCAGATACAGCTAGTGTTAAAGGTGTTGTGCCTGATGCTGAAGTTACAGTCACCAATGGGTTGTTTATCATCAAATTTGGAGGGATTGTGGCTGCCATAGTATTTGTTGTTATTTGTGACATAGAACTGTCACGTGCAGCTTTTTGTTTAAGAACTGGAGAGGAAAAGAACCAACAATATTCACTAATTATCACACGCAGATAACATCTATCTATATAATTAATTTTAGAGCTAAAAAGATGAATTTATAACATCTAATGAAGCACATGCATTTTACTCTGAACTAGCATCGCAAAATGCTCACAAGCACAAAGGTTCTTTACTTTCAGAAAGGCTAAATCAGTCCCTTAAACAACAATTCACGTAAAGTTCTACTACAATCTTTAATGAACACAAAATTACTTAACACTAAAGAAAAAATTTCTTGTAACAATAGGAATTCAAAGAAACCACTTACTTGCTTGTTCTGTAGTGACTTTATACTGATAATAGTTGAAATGCTCTCCTCCAAAAAGAAATCCAAATTTGGGGTTGCCTTTCTGTTTATTTTTGGTCATCTGTTCAAATTCTGGTCCATTGCGAGCAACAAATTGGGCCAATTTGTCAATAATATTCCTTAATTCTATTTCTACAGAAAGAAACCCATGTTACAATGAGCAAATTGTCTTTTTCCTAACATAAACTAACACTGCATCACTTCAATATAACAAATTGTGTGAAATCACAGAAATTATAGAGAAAGTTACGAATATCAAAAAGACGTGGAAACAATCAGCAAAACAAAAATATTTCAGGTTGCATGCAACACATCATATAGAGGTTAAACCGAACGATGCCGCGAAGAGTAGATATCTCCAACTTACCTTGGGGTGGTTTCGGTAAGTCCATTATTACCGCACGAAGCTTCTGAACACTATTCAAAATTCTTGCTTTGTAAGTGGATTAAAATATATGGGTATTTCTCACAAAAGGGTGAGTATTTGTATTCATTTCCTAACCAAACGCGTAACTACAGCCACACATCATATGAATCTCAATGTCTTTCCTTTGGTCATCTCTGCTACATCAGACGCTACACAATCTTTGAAGTGCAAGATATGCCACATAGTAATCAGAGAAATCAAGCTCCTTCGCATATTGGTATTATCCACCTGAAATCTGGAAAAATACCTCTACATTAAAATGCATTTCAAACTGGTAGAAATTTAGGAGATAAAACAACGCACAGCTACCACTTTAAAAGCATTTCTAAAATAAGTCTTGTTCATCCTCTTTGTGGGCGAGGGAAACTTAAGTAAATAACAAAATGGTAGATGTGTTACAATCAAGATGTTTAGCAAATAATGTGATTTCTCAAGCCTTCAAAACAACACATAGAACACTATTTGATCATTTTTGTAACCTAACATATCCACTACATTAAATACACTGATCAGATATTCATCATTTATGCAAGTTCTGACGCTTCTCCGCATTATTTTGCTCCCGCTCAACGAGGATTAGGAAGACGGGAAGGGAAACGCAGCCGTGGTGTGTTAAATAGGAGTGGTGTTGGCTGTCCTGTTCTTGCGAGTTCGTAGTTTTCATTATTGTTATTAATTTTTGGAACTTTTTCGAGAAGGTGAGTGTATTTGGGTTAAAATAAGTGTTCTTTCTTCAAAATATAGATAGTATTATATTTCAAGATTGTTGTATTTGCATTATAAATAGGCATATGGTGCAATTGTCATGCGAGCAATTTGCAGCACGCCTTGTTCGTATCATAATTCGTAAGATTTATACTTTTTTATTTGTATTTCTTGTAGAACCATGCCTGCAGTAGATGATATTAAGTCAAGCTGGGCCGATGAAATAGAAGAAGAATCTCCCGGAGCTTTACCTCCATCCACTGAAGTAATTGACCCAAAAGGTTATAAGATCGTAACAGAATATAAATATGAAGATGACAAGAAAGTTAAAGTTGTCAGAACATACAAAATGGAACGTATGATTGTTTCAAAGAACATTGCCTTCAGGAAAACTTGGAAGAAATTTGGTCAATCGGCAAATGACAAGCCAGGTCCTGATCCAGCTACTACTATTGTTGGCGAGGATGTATTTTTGGTATTCATTTCAAGTAAGGAAGAAGAAAATAAACCAGAAGAAGATGGTCTTGAGAAACTGAAAGCTGTTGGAGATAAGGGAGTTGTGAAATGCCGTAATTGCAGTGGAGAACATTGGACCTCAAAATGTCCATACAAAGATACTGTTCTTACTGGCAGTAAAATACCTGAAAAGACTCCGTCCATGGGTCTGAATTTGGGTGATGACAAGAAGCAGGTTGGAGGAAAATATGTCCCTCCAAGTCTTCGAGATGGAGCAAAGCGTGTTGATCCAGGAGTAAACCCACGTGCTCGTGATGACACTACTGCAATTCGTGTTTCAAACTTGTCAGAAAGTACTACAGAAGCTGACCTTGAAGATCTGGTAAAACCTTTTGGCCCTATTCACAAGTTATATCTGGCTAAAGATAAGGGTACCAATAGTTGCAAAGGATTTGCTTATATTCACTTCAGATTTAGAGGAGATGCCCAGAAAGCTATTAATGTTCTGAATGGTCATGGCTATGATCATCTTATTTTGAGTGCTGATTGGTCGAAGCCTGTTGCTCCCAATAATTAAAATGTATGTGGTATAGGTCTTGATACAAGAATCATATTATCCTTCTCGTTTTTAAAGGATTAGTTTAATTTTGATAATAGATGGATTCCAATTAACATCTTAAATTCTGATTGGGAAAGTAATTATCCTATTCATGTACATTATTCTGAAAATGATTAATCATCATAAATCCAAAACTGTTCAATAAGTCTTCTTTATTCTTATTCAATAAATATATGAAGAATTAAATTTCCATGAACTTCTTATTTACAGCCCTTTATCAATTTCTTTTCTTTTTTTTTTTTTTTTCATTTCTGAACAGAATTCCTTATCTTTTAAGGATATGATGCCAAAATAGATTTTTTGGATAGGCTGTTCTCATAAGTAATAAAAAATTAATAATTGACTAAGTCACTAACATGTGATGGTATTGGTAAAAGAATTGACAGTATAATTCAGTAGTTTTTGTGGCACACCACACAATACAATTTTGCAGTTTGGGGTTGGGTTAGATAGTAATGAAAATTGAATTTGCAGAATACAGTAATACACTTTCCTAAATTGTTTAGCAACTCTCTTGGTCTTGTGGCAGCTTGGGACAAAAATTTCAGTAATATTACCTATTGTTACGTGATGGTCCTTTGCAATTGTTTGGATTGCTTTGTGGCCAATTTTTGTGAACTAAAATTAACATGTCAGCTCCTTGTAGTAAAAGATTGTTCTCATTATCTATTGGGGATCTAAGATATAGATAAAAACATAAGGGTACAGATATACTACTTATATAAATATAGAATCTAATTGTATTGTTGACTCTCAAAATGTAAAGACTTGAGAATACAGTGGACCCATCTTCAGTACATACGTTAGATTCTGAGAACGCAGTGTGCCTAAATGACTATTGCAAATATCAGAGGAACTAAATTGAATTCTTCAATGGGATGTGGCGACAATAGCTGAAAGTTTTATGTGGTGATTCCTGCAGGGTCTCTAAAATTGCTTTGCTGTTCCACACTGTTTGAGAGCTTGGTATTGATCATAAAAGAAAATTTGAAACAAAATCAAACAAATTTATTAAAGAAATTAAAACATTTTCTGTTCATTATAATGAATGATTAATATGGGCATTTGATTTTGTCCCAATTTTTAATGCTAGAAAACAATAAATTAAAAGGTAGTTGTGGGTAGACACTTGAGTATTGTTCTTTTGGAAAAAATGTTTCACTCACAGTTACTGTAATTCTGTATTAAAAATAAATTGTTTTGAAATACCAGGAGAATTTTTTGAATGAATACTTTTTTTCTAGCTGAAATTTTGAAAGTGAATGTTGCAAGAAAGAGTTCTGTTCTTTAAAGCATGATTTTGTATTGGAAGAAGTTCAAAGACATACGAATATTTCATGGTTTGCCATTAAATTCTATTTAAATTTAACGAATTTATTTAAACAAAATTTAGTTCATTCGTGATCGAGAAAAAAATGTTCTTTGAACAGAAAGTATTATACATTCACCATGATATTTTTTTTCATATTTTAAAATATTTTGCTTATTTGTATCTCAGTGTGTTAGATTTGAAGATGGAATATATGTTTTGCACATGTGAATTGAATTGAATTAATGCCTTATTTTACGTGGCGAGACTCAGGCCATGAGACTGCTCTTCCGTCTGACTTCGCAAATTTCGCTACGCTCCTTTCACCAACTAGCAGAGAAAGGAGGTATTTTATTCCAATTTTTATGTAGCTTGGTGTCAAAGCCTGGGAAAAATCAGTAAGAAGCATTAATTAATGTTTAATTAGAGACCAGATGTTAGGGAAAATGCCTACACTTTATTGTTAGGGATATAAAAATTCTTTTTTGCTGTACAAAAAAAAAGACAATTTTGTTTTTTCTGTCCAATTTCACGAGTTTTGCCTGTATATCTAATTTACTATATTTACTTTCTAATCCACATACACTTGGATTGATTTCTATATAATGGTACGCTATGAGTTATTGTATGATTTTTCAATATTTTGGTTTACTGTGGGTGAACTATAGCCATCATTTTGTGAAATACATACTTCGAGATAAGTAATGGAGGAAAATTATTACAAAATTAGCTGTAGTATTTTTGCGTTCAACAAAAAAGGTTGAGAAGATGTAAGAATTAACTAATTCCAAATCTTTCACTTGAAGGTAGAAAGTTCAGAGAAAATAAGAGTAAGATAAATACAAAATCGCTCTTTTAAGATTACCCCATTCCCATCAACTCCAATAATTCATTTTCAGCTTCATTTTGTTGCATGAAAATTTATTCACTAGTCGTGGAAGATATGAAGATGTCCTCTGTCCTAGGCAGAGGTGGGAAGGGGGGAAACTGTCCCCCAATCATGAGAAAAATAAAAAAGAATATATTTAGACATTTCATTTTGCGGATCTTCAAACTTGTATATAAAAGATTTACTTGTCTCTGTATTTTGAGAATAAGTATAAAAATAATAAAGCGAACAATAATTTTATTAAGCTGAGCTAATAACGTACATTAACGAATTGGTGAACTTTAGTTAAGTACTATTAAACACACGGGATGATGTTCAGCGTTATTGTGAATATTCCTTATTAATAAATCCAATTTCAATTATATTTTGCTTTTAAATGTTATTCCTTAGAAATTATAAAGTTTTGTGCCTAAAATCATGAGTCATAACACTAATTTTAACTCTCAAAAAGAAAGTATTTCCTGTGTATTATATAGAGGTACTACATTATAGAAGTAAAGGTGGTGATACTTGTATGAGCCACATATATAATATGAACCCCCTTGGTATCTTTTCCTACATCGCAAACATTCTAGGAGTTACAATTTGAACAACTAGTTTAATACGGATCCTTTTGCCATAGTAGCTCTGTGGTTGAAGAAGGTTGATATGAAACAGAGGTGTTCGTCTTTTCTCGATTTTAAAAGCTTTGGAAGGTCAGTGTTTCGCTTTTAATTATAGTTTGAGTTCACTTTGACCGATTCTTAACTAATGAAATACAATGTTTTAAACATTGTTTTTATACCTGCAACCTGTAATTACGAACCTATCAAAGATCGTTTTTAGTTTGCAGAATTTAAATATGGCAATGGTTGTAAAATGAGTCCCGAACTAAGGTGTGTGGTATATTAGCCACAAATATTAAAGGCCCATTCACAATGCAAACATAAACATAAGCGTCGCGTTAACATATAAGTTAGGACTACGTCCATAAGCGGACTCATTAACAATGCGTTCGCATAAGCATAACATGTCAGACATTAACTTAAAAGCTTGCAAGCTTCTGTGCTTATGCTTAAGTAAGACATAAGAAATGAACCAATCACATAATGGTAACTCAAAATCGAGAATCGAAATTTGCTTTGTTAATGAGTAATATTGTAATATACTTTTGTTCGCAGTTAGTAAAATTGGTATTTTTTACAAAAAAAAAAAAATCCAGTATGTAGTGCAGGAGTGTTCTAGTAAAGCAGTGGTAAAAACAGACTTTTTTTCAAATGGCGTTTGACCAAAATGTACTTATTTTGTAATTAAGGTACCATTTCTAAGAAACTATTGTTCACAATTTATTAAAATTTACAAGACATATTCATTTAGTATTGGCAATAAATTGACATTTTATATAAATATTCAATAAAAAAATGAAAAAATATGTTTGTCCAAGAATGCTTAAAAAATTACTAATTCTGTTTTAATCAAACCAAAATAATAAAAATCGCTTTATCATTCAGTATGCTAATTTCATAATGTTCTAAATAACCATTTTCTAGAAAAGATACATCAATAATAGCAAATTTAACACGGGCGTTATACATGGTACCCTTCCCCTTAAACTGCTCAGCCCATTTTCTCCAAATTATTATCCAATCGATCTGGCGATCGCGGTCCGTTATATTTGAAACCAATGTTTTAAATTTGGGAGGTACCTTACATTAAGTCCCTGGGACATTAAAAAAAAAAATGCTTCAACGTGTTTGATTAAATTTTGTTGTTGGATAGTGTGAAGGACATTTAAGAGAATGGCGCAGGTCTCATGTTCATTGAAAACGCCGAATGTTTGAAATTTGCAAAAGTTCAAATTTGTTTTGGAGTCTTCCCACAACTAAAATGTTACACACAGAATTTTTTTCTTTAATGAAATTTGTTCCTTAAAGACAGATTGTTAAATAAGGTTATGAACAATTTTTCGAAAATTTGAGTACTTTGGCGTAATTTTGCACGAAATAAAACCAATTTTTAAATTTAAACAAATTTTTCTTTAAGAAAACGGTGCAAAATTTGAATAAATTGTGATCTTAGGGAGCGAAAATGTCGCGTAAGAGAATAGTGCAGATCGATGTTTATTAAAATCCCTGATTTTTCAAAAATTGAAAAAAAATCATTGTCTTCCTACAAGTACAATTATGACGGTTCAATTTTTTCCCTTAATGAAGTATGTTAATCAGAAACAAATCTTCAAATAGTCATGTTAAATTTTTCGAAAATAAGAATATTTTTTTGTGTAATTTGATGCTAAACATTGACGCCCGCTTTGAATTTCCTAAGTTTCGTGAACATAATTTGAGAAGTGTTTGGTTGCATTTGGTTAAGTTAGAATTTGTCTATTATTTCATATTTCTTTGTTCTTGCATTCGAGCTTTTGTTATAATTGTACAAATTAATCTTATAGAAATTATTTAAAACCTTTGAAATTAAAATTAGCCCAATTAAGTCTCCTCATAAAAATTCGATTTAAATGTAGTATGAAAGAAAAAAATTGCTAGTTTTCAGGAAATATCAGATTGGAATGTGACACTGGCATTTCGTCCTGCCAGACGGCAGTAGTAGTTTAGTGAATTACATCTCGTTTTGGGAGATGATTTAGCTGTATGAAAAGCAATTATTATTGTCGCTGATCTGGATGGCCGAGGTGGCTGGAGCGCGTATTGACTCAGAGCCTCGGTCTGAAGGGCCCCCTGATTCGAGTCCTGCTGTGGGCGTGGTTGTTTGTCCCTCGTCTTTTTGTGTATGTGTGTTGTTGCGGAAGGTCTTGTGAGTCTATTAACCACAGATCGAGGGGCCCGAACCTATTATTTTACAATTTGTGATGAGTTTTACAAAAAATGACAGATGTGATAAGTCAGACAGAAATTGCGCTATAAATAGTATTACGTAACCATTACTAAGGGCGAGAAAGTATGAGGCTGTGTTAGCACCACTACTTTTTATTAACAATTAATATACTGTTAAATTATATTGCTGCTAGTTTGACATATACATGCTACATTATAGATGATTGCCAACAATTTTAAATTTTAAATTTGAATAAAACCATTAGTTGAAGGTATGCTTTAATTGCTTAATTAATTTCCAGTGAATAGGTTTAAATTTTCAATCTCAAGAATGTTATTGTTGCCAGTAAAAAGGGGGGGGGGTCTAAAAAATATGTTAGCTTGGGGCCTCGAAAATGGTTAGTTCGCTGATGAATATTTCCCAGTTGATCTGGCTAATGTCACAGCCCCTAATTTTTTTAATTTGAAATGGATTTTGATTTTTAGAGGTAGTATGCAGAAAACCTCAAGGTTATTTACAATATTTTCTTCAGAACACAAGTATGATTATCTAAACGGCAAAAAGTTCAATTTTGTAGAACCTACTTCATTTTGACTATTGCAAAAGTTACAAATAATCTGAGAGAGCATGTGCTGTTGTGGCTTGTCTTTCCTCATTATTTTGTTTTTTTGGCTCCTAACATCTGGTCTCTAGTCACAATATTTACTTACCTTTTGGTTAGTGACGTATCTTTTCAATCAGTAGAACACTTCAATACCTGTAGGTATGAGGGAGAAAGAGTGACCATTATAATGTACAGAATCTCAATTTATTTGGTCTCAGCCTTTAATTGTAGAGTGCGTTTAGATTTAGGGAGCATTATATACAAAGGGACAGGCTATGTTACAGCACCCAGGTGCAAACTACATGTTGGCATGGCATTATTAATAAAACTTGTGGAATATCAGACATAAAGAATTGAGATGAAACTGTTTACTCTAACGAGTTGTTCAATAGAAATTGGCAACTTTTAGTAAAGAAATGTCTGCTTAGCAATCTCTTTTTCTTCTCATTGGTACATGTGATATTTGAACCATACTTCATAATCAGTCATTCTGGAAAGTTACTGCACTCCACTCTGTTTATTGACAATTTCTAACAAATAGGTTTAACAACAATTCCTACAGATACATAATGATCAGTACATACAGTACTTTGGCAGCTAGTATGAATACCAGTTCTTTGAAATAGTTTTTCCAAAACCTTTTCTATGAAGACTTCACTTAGGATAATGGGCATCAAGAAGCACTTGGCAACAGAGTGAGCAGATCACACTTAAAAGAGGCACATGATCTGTTCAATTTCACACATGCTGAGAGGAAGAAGAGAGAATGGTAAATAAAAACATCGGCACCTATTGGATTGCTGCCATTTTCTATGGATCAACTATTACACTTTGGGATACCCTATTGTCACATTCTGTTGTTTTCAATAGAAGCAGAGTACTTGAAGTAAATGCACTTCACCTCTGCCCTTGCCAGGCCAATATGAAATTTGTGGTAATACTGGTACGTACAAACTTCCCCAAACTCTTTGGTTTCGAACAACAATATCAGCCAGGAAGTAAGAAGCAAAGGAACTGGCTGAGATGTTGAAGACAACTTGATCTTGATTCTGAACAAAATCATGTTGCCCTAGTATGCTTCAGGTCACCTATTCAATGTATATATCTTCAATGGGGTAAGCAGTTTCAATGAATTTCGTGTAAAATCTCTGGAAAGCCCTCCTGAAACAAAAACATTAAACATCAGGCACAAAGAATAATAAAATTAAATGACATAGTTTTATGATCTAAGGAGCAAAATTTATAGTTTGTTCTTTAATAATGAAGTGCCCATATAAATAATGGAAGCAATTAGAGAAGACAATTTGTTCAAATCTAATGATGTTTGAGTTTTTAACCAAAACAGTATTTCTTAATGAAAAATACATTTCTGATTATTCACTGTAGTATATAGATTTGTATGCGAGGGAACTTTAGGAGAAATCATAAGTATGAACAAGGGCCTAGGAAGTATGTGCCTACGGCGGCAAAATTTTAGTGTCGGTAAAAATTATGGACTAAATTAGTTCATAAATTTCTAAAATTGCCAATATGCTTATACACAGTGGTGTAATGTTCGGCCCCGCAAGGTCCGCAACCCGGGCGGGCCCGGGTAAATGGGGCGTTATTTTTAGGGGATATTTTTATTATTTAAGGTACTAACAATTCTTGTATTTGCTATACACTTTTGTAAATAGGGGCCCGGCGGGCCCACACTCATTTCGTTTCCTCTACTCTAATATAACAAATCAAATGCAGCGCGTAAAGCCGGTGAGAATCTCGGACAAGACGATGTGTTAGGTCTTATCCTCTTAGCTTCCTTTTCTTCTTTCTGTCACTCCTTCTCTCTCCTCTCTCTCTCTTCGCTCTTCATCTCTTCTCTCTCTCCTCCCTCCTCTCACCTCTCCATCCCTCCCTCTACTGTCTCAGTTTATTCTGGACTGTTTCGCCTCTGTCCTCCTCCTCTGCCTTCGTCCTCTGTCCTGCCCATCGTTTCTCCATCATCCGTGTCTCTCATCTCTCATGTGACTCTCCGTATCACATGGCAACGTTCAGCAACAAAGAAGCCCAGGTGGAGCGCAGTTTGAATGGCAATTGAATTCAAATGAAGCGCAATTTTGTTCTGCAGCACCATCTAGCGGGCTTACAACAAAACAATCAGCACATAAACCTTGTGGGTGAACAAACACGTAGATGTGCCAACTTTTTTCGAGATCGGTCACACGGTGTCAGAGTTCACCGCTCTTGAACATCCAAATTACTTTCACATATACGTACGCTTATACGGAGTACTATACGTAGGATAAAGTTATGAAATGCTGCAGAAAATCGTTTTCGAGACTTCAATGGAAAATGCTGGTTTTGGGGTCCCCTGATACCGAAAAACTTTTTTTCAAAACGTCCGTCCATCCGTCTGTATTTCAGTGTGTTCAGTATGTGAACACCAAAAGCGCCTAAATTATATGAAGGATTTTTTCAAAATTGATATTCCCCGGTCGATAAGGATCGAGTCAAAGCTTTGAGATTTTGAAAAACATTAAAATTAGGGGGTTCGCACCTGGAACGTTTTCAAAATTTTCTCAAAAATGGCTCCAAATTTTTTCTTGAAATTTCTTATAAAAATAGAGTAAAACACACTTATAAAGGTGGCATACGTCTGATTTCCATGGTTAACTCTAAATTTCCGATAATTGCAAAAGTTTGAATTTTTTTCGGTGTCTTCCTACAACTACAAAACTAAAGATAGAGACTTTTCCATGAAATAAAATTTGTTCTCCGTAATGAGTTCTTTCATGAAGACCATGTACATTCTTTTTAACATTTTAATTGTTTATGCGCAATACTGCGAGCAGTATGTGCATTTTTGAAAAATTAAAAAACTTTATTTTCTCAAAAACTGCTCCAATTTTTTTAAACTCTTGGTGGGGATTGTACTAAATGCACTCTACACGATGACATAAACGCCATATTGCTCTATACTTTTTTCAAAAATTACAATTTTTTTGTCTGGTCTCTCACGTCATTAATTTATTAGCGGCGTCATTAACACATTAGCGGCAATTTATTTACATTAACGTATTTATGAGTTTATGTGCTATAAATAATGCAAGATACAGTTTCCCGAAAACTCAACAGTTTTCCGTAAAAATGAGCTCAAAATTCCGCATTTTCAGAATCATTCAAACACAATTTTTTCAAAATGCCTCCAATTTTCTTCAACCTTTTCCAACATATAGTGCTAATTTCAATGTTTACGATGACACGGAATTAAGTTCGGCGTATTCGTTTGTTTTTTCTACAATTACACAAATGTAATTTTTTTTGAAAGATCTCTCATGGCTTTATTATGCACATTTCCAGCGTTTTGTAAACACTATTGCATTTGTGACTGGAAGTGCTTGAAATTACGTCATATGTAGTTTTTCAAAAACTATATAGTTTTCTGTGAAAAGAGATTCAAATTTTAAATTTACAGTAGTGCTTAAATGCCACTTTCTTAAAAACAGTGTCAAATTTTTCAATGAAAATTGCCATTTACGATGAGGTTTTACTGTTCTTTAATATCATTAAAGTAATAATTCGATTCCACTATTAGGAAGCCAAATATTAAGAAAAAAATGTACTTTGGACGGCGATAGAAGGCAGCTGGCAAGAGTGTGTGGCAAGGTCGAATAGCCAGCTGAGACAAATAGTAATAGAAAACTAATACGGGGAATGTCTGTCATTCTGTAGCTCCACTAGTTTACACTTGTCACCCATGTCTTAAGTAATTTATAAGGTGTGCCCAAATGAAAAGGAGACCAAAGCCGCAGTGGCGTTGAATCAACTCTCCATAAACGAAAGTCGTAGCCGATAGATGGCATGTTTTTTTGCTCTGTTGCATAGACAAGAGAAAAGGACGTCGCAGCCATTGTCTCAGTTCGTTGCATGATCCGTGCCTCAAGAGCAAAGTAAAGAGCAGTGATCCAATTTCCTCGCACGGAAGGGCAGCGTGCGTCCCAAATGTACCGCGGGATGCACGAAGGGCATGGGGAGCGATGTCTCGTGCGGCGGACTGTATCCCGGAGGTGTCAGCGTTGCGCAGAACATCAAGACCGGGGCAGGCTCACGTTGTGACCAACAGTGCCACATTTGCGGCTGTGGATGAGTTCATACGGCTGAGTTGTCGGATCGCCACAGGTAAAATTGCTGTTGCACTGGCAACAAGCAAAGAAACTGTACATCACATCATCCACGCAAAGCTGAGACATGGCGAAAAAGACACTCGCGCGCCTGGCGAAGTTTCGCTGGGAGGTCCCGCAACATCCTCTTCACAGGCCCGATTTATTCCCATGCGGCTCCTATATCTCCGACCCCTTTTCTGTTTACGACAAAAACATTTCTGTTTTTGGGAGGTCAGAGATTTATCTACGACAAGAACGGGCAAAGCCACTGTGGTACGGTGGATCAGTCAGCAAACCTGGAATTTTTATACGGAAGCCATCTACACACTTCCTACGTGCTGGGATTAGTGTATAAATGTAAATGATTATTTATAAGTATACAGTTCCAAATAAAATGCAATTTTCACGTTGGCAAATAAGTTTCTTTCCATATCACTGTAGTTTCCTTTTCATTTGGGAACACCATGTTCATTAGCGACGATTTGTTCACAATATTGCTTTTATGAGTACATGCGCTTTAAATGATGTCATACAAAGTTTCTCAAAAACTCAACTGTTTTCTGTTAAAATGAGCTAAAAATTACGCTTTTTCAGGAACTCTTACTACACACATGCTAATGGCTACTTAATTGAACATGAAAGGCTACTTAATTGAATACTTTCATAACATTAATTTAAAATGTTTCTTCATTTTTATTATATTACATTCTAAACAGTAAATATAACAGTTGAATAACAACATACATATAACTAGTACAGGCAACACAAATAATACTGTACATACTACGTATGTACATACTACGTAATACTCTATATATGCCCTTTCGTGTATTTATCAAACATATTGATCCTTTCACCTGTGTCCTCTAATAACCACCTCACCTTATCCTGAATATTCCACCTTGCTCACATTCTCCCTTCCTCAAACACCGGTCATTTCCCCCATCACTATTCAAACACCGGACATTTCCCCCTCAATAAATATTTACTCGTTCTCATTTCATTACCTAACCAATATCTTACTATCCTACGTCTGTCACGTTCCTTACCTTTTGAATAGCTGGAAATATATATCAGAATCATTTTTAACCACTTATTAAAAATTTGAATCCTTATCTTTGCGTATATTATGAATATTTTTGTTGTTATTTAACTGTTGTATTTAAAAAGTTGTAAAATATTTAAGTATGTAAACACGGATGCCTTTTTCGGGAACGGAGACCCGTGACGTCCTTCCGGTTTCGCCTCTCTTGGAGCAGCGCGACGCGCAGAGCGCCGAAGCGGCAGAGCGCGAGCGCAGAGCGCGAAGCGCAGAGCGCGAAGCGCAGAGCGCACAGCGCAGAGCGCACAGCGCAGAGCGCACAGCGCACAGCGCAGAGCGCACAGCGCACAGCGCAGAGCGCACAGCGCAGAGCGCACAGCGCAGAGCGCCCAGCGCCCAGCGCCCAGCGCACAGCGCAGAGCGCACAGCGCAGAGCGCACAGCGCTAAGCGCAGAGCGCACAGCGCTAAGCGCAGAGCGCACAGCGCTAAGCGCACAGCGCTAAGCGCAGAGCGCAAAGCGCAGAGCGCGAAGCGCAGAGCGCAAAGCGCAGAGCGCGAAGCGCAGAGCGCGAAGCGCAGAGCGTACAGCGCAGAGCGCACCGCGCTAAGCGCAGAGCGCAAAGCGCCGAGCGTAAAGCGCAGAGCGCAAAGCGCAGAGCGCAGAGCGCAAAGCGCAGAGCGCAAAGCTCCGAGCGCTAAGCGCAGAGCGCAAACCTCAGAGCGCAGATCTCAGAGCGCAGAGCTCAGCCCACTCACCCGACGGCCTCGGCGACCGGCCGCGTCGACTCCTGCCCCACGAAGACGTGGCACGCGAAGCGCTGCAGCTGCGGGTGCTTGGTGATGAAGCCCATGTAGCGGTGGTCGCGCGGGTGGAAGGCGCAGAAGGACACGTTCTTCAGCGAGTAGAAGTAGTCGTGGCACGGCACGTCCTTGGGCTGCGCAGCAAACCGGGGACGGCGTGAGCGGCCGTACTTTCCCGCATAACGCTCTCTGCACTTCAAACGTTTGTCATTTACCCAGCCATGTTTTTTTACACTTTCCCGTTCGATTAATATCACTTCACGCACCTGCTTTCCAGCTGGGATTTGAAAATGGGAAGGTTAATGTATTCTGGGTAAGTGGGGCGCATTCTGTGCACAAACTTTCAAATTAGAGGGCTCAAACGAGAGCTCTCAATGAATCATCAAGAACATTTTGGGGCCCAAGTGTCACATTAATATGATTCTCCTAATTAGGATTTTTGATCTTGAAGTTTATTTGAAAAGGGTACCTCTTTTTATTGACCAATAATTTATTTTATAGCGGTCAACAACAATACAATGATGTAATACATTGTTGAATTTGGCAAAAAACTTAACATTAAAAGTCGATTTTCATTACTCTCCAAATTTTGCAATCAAGTATATATTTGCCATTGTTTTCTTTATTTATGTGAACATATATAATTTAAAATAAGTTACAATAACGTATTAAAATTATGTACATAACAGGTCTCAAAGATTTTCAATTGAATATGTAATTAAAGACTTATGTAGCTCTTAGAGCCACGACAGTGAAATGTAGTTCATGAGGACATCGATCCATAAATCTATTGCCTATTTCAGTGTTTAGTTTTTTTTTAATGACATGGTTCAATCAGATCCACTGACGGATGCAGGGGGCATGGGGGACATGCCCCGCTCGAAAAGGCCTTGAGTTTTCGTTTACCTTCCTTTATTTGGGAAAATTGATTTAACTAACTATTCATTTATGCTCGAGTTCTGTAATTTTTAAACAATAATAATGTATAGTATATCTACAACACATAAATAATATACAATACGATAACAAATAAGTTTATTTAACAAAAATAATCTACGATGCCCCCCCCCCGATCGGTTGGATCCACTCTGTGATCAGATCTAACACTTGTTTGATCAATAATCACTGCTGATTGTCATTGAAGGCTGCTTAATACTGAGAACAGCTTACTGCATTTATCAGCCTGAGATTGTAATGATTTGACATCAAATTTTACTTGTCTTTTTCAGTAATGCTTGTGTTCAATTTAAACAAGTCAAATTAATTCAAGAATGTATTTGAGACTTTAATGTCTAAGTAGAGCAGATGTGATGCTCGTTTTTCTTCAAAACGCCCGGAAGGAAGGGCTCAGGGCATCAACTAATGCAACTTCAGTCCCTCTGATCGGGAGGTTCTAGGTTCGAGTTCTGACAACGGCAGGTTTTTCGATACTAGCTTGTCAGCTAGGTCGAATTCAGTCGCTGTCTGGAGGAGACAGCTAGCGGCCGGCTGCTCTGATCGGTAGTTTTTCGTGGTTTCTCCGATCATCACCAGGCGAATGCCGGAGCAGAACCCCGCACCGCACGTAAAAGACCGCGCGCGATCTTTCATACGCCTTCCTAGCCATATCCTCACTCTTTGCACACACAAACATAGACTTCCCTACCACAAATGCCGGGAGGCCGGTCTGGAGCTTAGAGCTTGTCCCGGCTGAGGCGGTGGCCTGCTGGTGAGGAGAGATACCTGATTAGGGTAATCCTGCTAGCCAACGGTAGGTCAGCGAAGAATCTGGCATTTCTGCAGGGAAAGACTACCGCCAACTCAGAGCAAAACATGCACTACACTTACGGTACTAATAACTTGAGTAGTTGATGCACCCGGAATCATTAACAATCAATCAATCTTTCAAAATGGATTTGTAGATGAAAATCGTGGTAAGACGACTGAACACATGAACTCCAGACATGCGACTTTACATGCAAACATCCCCATTTTTGCAAATCTAGTGCGGGATGACTCCGTAAATATTGAGAGTTTAAAGTGAAAAGACAATAGTAGTTTCACAATGGGGCAATTGCATTTTTAGTTTGAACGTGCAACGTATTGTAAGTGAAAGAAAAAGATTAATAAGTAAGAGTAATTTAAAATTATTACAATATTTATTTTAATAATGATATTCATACTTAATGAATTAGATAACATTTGTATTCTATAATTTTAAAAGATTAAAAATGTCTGTAACAATTAATGTACTTGAGCTCTTGGGTCAAGTCAAATAAAAATCAGGTTTTTCTCCAGTTTCCCTGATCCATTGAGAAAATGTTCAGATGGCTTTTTGCTTTGCTTCTGGACATATATGTAGCTTCACTATGCGCACAGTTTTTGTGAGCTCTCATTTTGCTAGTTGCAGTAGTACTGGTGCCGGGGATAGGGATTGTTATTTTGTTGGAAATACAATAAAATCAAAACTGTGGTTTGCTTTTAGATGGAAATAAGTTTTCTTTAAGTCAGGACCAAAAAATGCCTAGTTTTGAAATGTAGCTAACCTCGCTTTGTTAGTATTTTTATTTGTCATTCCCCTCTGAACTCGTAAAGTAAAGAGTTGGGGGAGGAACTGTGGGAAATTCTTCAAGAAATACTTAGATACTTCTCCCCCAAAATTGCAAATTTGACTGTAGAATTATTATATATGCCTACTATATCACATGTTTTTCTTTTTAGAATTCTCATTCATTTTTTCACATCAGTAATTAACATAATATACAGTATTCTCTTGGAATAAATCTTTTATTTTAACTCGTGTTATATTTTTTAAAAGATGTCATGTTCGTTGCCCCATACCTCACGTACAGTTTTTTGACGAAATAAATAAATAAAATGAATCGCTGAAGTTGCTTTGGCGTACTCACAGCGGGCTTGCGGCGGTCGACCATGCGCAGGCCCTGGTCGGACACCTCGAGGATGCAGGCGTGCGGGCGCAGGGCGGGCGTGCCGCCGCCCGACCCCACGATCTTGCGCACAGCCTGGCACAGCACCGAGTTGCCCTTGTGGCAGCGCGTCTCCACGGAGCCCAGGTAGCCCAGCAGGTAGCGCTCGCGCTTCACCTTGGGCGTGCTGGGGTCGAAGTCGCTGTAGTCCACGTCCACGGCATACGCCGACGGGAAGATGCCTTGCAGCCCCGAGCGCAGGTTCACGCCTGCGCGCGCCAGCCCGCCCGCCGGTTAGCCACTAACCTCACTTCCTCAAGGCCCCCACTCGCGTATTACTCGGGCAACGTTTCTCGAACGATAGATTGAAGACATGCGGCTACAGTGGGGTTATTAGTTACGAAAGCGGCCACCAGATTTTATGAAGCAATGCCAATCTTTGGAGAATCAGCCATGCCTTAGTAACTTTCTCAATAATTTGCGTTTGAACGTTCTAAGGAGTTCGAGGTATCTCCTGTGATGGACCTTCACTTGCTACGGTCATTTCATTAGATTTTGGGGAGAAAATCACGGACAGAAATTCTCGTCTTCAACAGAAAATAGTTACTATTTCGTGCTATGAAAATTTGTTTGGAATGTATTCATCAATGCTCGCTTCAAGCTTCTGCCTTCTACTGTTTTGGGCCGGAGAGGGAGAAGAAAGCCGTTCAAGAAAAGTTGCGCGATTAATACGAATTTGTCGGGCCGACCGGCCAGTCAAACCGACAAATTGCATCGTGTGGAGGCGAGTTGTTCAACAGAAATATTTGTCGGGCGGTTGGTTGGTCCTTACCACACGACCGCCGATTTCCCTACCGCACTGCCAGACAAATTGGGTAGAATTAAAAGTGCTGGGCCAACTTATAGTGATTCTAGACCAGAAAACGCTGCTTCAACTGTGAAACAGTTGTTTAATTAGAAAGTTCTTTGGTACTTGGCGGTTTTGGAGGTCGCTGATTACGAATATGAAGTCGAAAATTTCAACAAATAAAATTACGAATAAAATTTGTCAGAAAAGTAAATAAAACAAAATGCAAATTTCGTTTCAAAATCGATTATGTAATCGAATTTGGACAATACTTATGAGAATGAAAGCAATATAAAGAAAAGCAATTGTTTTTATTTATAAATTGTGGAAATTATATACAATACCATGAGAAAATCATTATAAAAAGGCTTAAAAACCTCCTTTATTCAAGCACGTGCCAGTAATGTAGTTACAGTGAGTTACAGAAACTTATGTGATTTTGAAAGGTAATACGTAATATATACAAGAAAATTGCAAATTTGACTGTAGAATTATTATATATGCCTACTATATCACATGTTGTTTTCTTAGAATTCCCATTCATTTTTTCACTTCAATAATTAACATAATATTCAGTATTCACTTGGACTAAATCTTTTATTTTAACTCGTGTTATATATTTTTAAAATGTCAAAAATGTTAATAACCTGATGGTATTTTTCTCTGCCGTAATATAACATGTTGCACGTGGTTAGCCTTCGAACTAGGCTCTGAAGAGGAATACGAAAGACGTGTTCCTCAACTGGATTTTAACTTAACGACTATGTGGGTAAACTATTGTGAACATAAACATCTCTAAATAGGATTTTTATTTCATTTTGGCCAGATTTTCGAGGTCTGGAATCACTGTGCTCGTACTGTCTTGCTCGCATAGATGTTGCCTCCTAAAAATTCCGAGCACTACTGAAAAATCGAGTTGTTGGTCGGACGATGTGTATCTAAGAGTCCAATTTCGTTGCCGGACGGTCGGTCCGACAAATTGGCCCGTGTGTAGAGGCCTTTATTTCGCCACTGAATAAGAGTAAATAATGGGTATGCAGTGAAAGTGTATTTGTAGGATGTAACTTACATTTGTTTATAAGATGTGTTTAAGCTTATACTAGCGTACCCGTGCGAGAACTCTCGCATGTTAAATTTCACCCTCTTCTCTAACTTTCCTTTTCCATATTAAGAGGAGAAGTTGTTAAAGAAACGTGTTTATTTGTTAAAAAAGGTAGCTTCCAATGTATTTATAGAATTTAATTAAAAAAAACATTGAAATAGACGTTTCAAACAAATTTTGAATAAAGATTTATTCAGTGTTATACATGGCAAGTGTGGCGGGTTGCATTTGGCATTAAGATGCTCTTTTTTTAAACAAATCCTTTTGAAGTCAAAACGCAATTCATCGCGTCTCCGTCTAGTTTGTTAGAGACCTTATTTATCAAGATTGGTTTATTGTAAGAGCCGCAAAAGGTATGTATACTACTGAAATAATATAGGAGACGACGATTAGAAAGTGTGTGTCAGGCCCGGCGGATAATGTGGGTGTGGTGGAGAGCAATACCCACACGAAAAATTTGAGGTTAAAGAGATAATTCATAATAATATTGTTATTTGACAATTTTACGATTCATACTGATCCAGAGTTTGTTAATAGAACGTACTAAGTTATACTAGCAGTTAGATGGTTATGTTCCTAGAAAGCTGACCAAAACGTGTGTTTTAAGTTTATGTCAGTTTTAAGCTGGGTTTAAGACACCGCTCCTTTTTCTGCCTTTCTTCGCCTGCCTAATGTATCCATTTTTGCACTTCTGTTAGTTGTAGAGAGAGTATGTAGTCATCAAAAGTCAGGGAAGAGCCTCATCTTTTGCGGATATGATAGGCCGAAATGTAATGTAATAAAGTGAATGCAGGTTAAAAATCGAGTGCTTAGTATCAGTTCATATCTTTGTACATATCAACGTTTTATTTGCAATATGTTGCATATTATTTTCATCCAAAATCTTACTTGAAATATTATTTTTACGTTTTACTGCAGAGTTGGTGTAAGTTTGAGTGGAGAATTGGGTTTACAAGTAGATATTGATTTTATTTCGCAAGATAATGAAAGGTTCGAGATGAATTATTTCTTCTGATGATGTGCGGAGTTTTACAGAGTGAAATCGATATTAGAAGGCAACAGGAAATTTCGTCTTTGAGAGAAAACCATGCTTTTTGAACTATTGCACTGTAATTGTAAAATGACATTGTAAATGGAAAACGCTTAAGCAACAATAATGTCGAGTCTAGTTTATTACGTGCAAAAATGATTAAATTTTATAAGGCTAATATTAAAACTAAGTTGTTTTTTCTAGTTACGTAACTAAAGCGTGTTATTAGTCCATTATTTTCACCAATCGTATTTTTATATTCAATCTTTAAGTCATATTTTACACCATATTTTCAAAAAATCCAGTTCACATGCGCGCATACATTACGTTATTACATGTAACAAACACGTACGTTATTACACGTTATTACATATAAACCCTAGTTCTGGTCATCAGCTTCAAGTAACACGGCGGACATCTTATCTACTAGTTTGTACTACTCTCTCAATAAGAGTAAAAGTGATGGTATGAAGAAGAGTAATAATGTTTCGAGAGTGCCATCACTAATAACGACCCTATGATTAAACAGCTTCGTCGGCCCCTGCTCGAAAGGGCAGTGGGTGAGCGGGGGGGGGGCGGCAGCTCACCTTCGCACCAGAGGTCGTCGGCCTCCTTCTGCACGTAGATGGGGTCCCCGATCTCCACCTCGATCTCGTCGATGTGGCGCGGGATGAACTTGTGCAGGCCGCGGTGCGTGGCCTCCAGCAGCTCCAGCTGCGGGAAGGGCGTGCTGCCGCTGCTGGCGGCCGACGCGGGCGACGCGGGCGACGTGGGCGACGGCGACCGCCCTGCACGCCCACCGCACCAACCACACACTTAGCGCTGCTTCGCCTTTGCGCCAGCACGGCAACATTTGCTTCAAACGGACTTAAAGGGTTGTTTTAAAAGATTTTTTGTTCATCTTTGGACACCATGTATATAAAATTATAATAATTAATTGTTAATGCATTTGGATAAGCCCAGCGAATCATTGTCGCCTTCACACTGTTTACAGGCTACGCGCTCGACGTTTATGCTTTGTGTTAGAAGACGACCCTTGAAGTTACCGCATTATGTGCTTGGATACTGAAGAAGGAGGAAGAAGAGTAGGAAGAGAAGGAAAAATGTAGGGAGAGGTGAAGGAAGAAGAGTAGGAGGAGAAGGACGAAGGAGAGAAGGCGGAGAAAGAGTAAATTCGAGGGAAGAACAGGAGAATAAGGAAGAAAGGGGGAGAATGAAGACCAAAAGGAGGAGAAGGAAAAATAATAATAGGAGGAGGGAGGTGAAGAAGAGAAGGAAGAAGAGGAGAGCCAAAATGACTAGATGAACGCCAAGTTTGACACTAAAGAAAAATATAAGGAGAAGGAAGGGAGAAGAAGGAAAAGAAGGAGGTGGAGAAGAAGAAGTGGTGGGGGGAGAAAGATGTAGGAGAAAGAGCAGAAAAAAGTGGAGAAGAAGAAAAGAATATGAAGAAGTAGAAAGAGCTGTTAACTTAGTCCAATACTGTATGATCTTTGCTTTTCACATAACAATTTATGTCCGTATGTTGCACATTGTTATTTCTCAAAGATGAAAGTCCGGTACAACAGACCGACTTAGGTGACTCAAGACCTCAATTGATGTCTCCGCTATGCCTTTGACCGTCATGTCAAGGTTTAAGTCCTGGCGGAGGCAGGATTTTCGACACTAGCTAGCAGTTGGGTTGAATTCAACCGCTGTCTGGCGGAGAATTCTAGCGACCGGCTGCTCTGATCGGTAGTTTTCCGTGGTTTCTCCGAACAACACCAGGTGAATGCAGGAATGGTACCCTAACAAACGGGATCGGACCGTGCAGGATCTTTCCTCCCCCTCTCTTGCCTTATATTCATCCTTTACTGGCACAAACTTAAACTTACATGCTATACACGCCATCCGAAAGTCCAGTCGGGAGATTTGAGATTGATGTCGTCGGCTTGCACGGCCACAGACCTGATCTGGGCTGTCCGGGTGACGTTGCGTCGCAGGCTGAGGTGCCGACGTATCGACCGCAATATGTCGGTCAAAATGTCGGCACCTCACCCTGCGAAGCAGCGTCATTCGGACAGCCCAGATCAAGCTTCGAGATTGTCTCGGTTAGGGTGATGCCCCGTTGTTGGTAAAACCCCGCTAGACGACAGGATGGCTTGCGCCGGATCTCACCATCCAGTGGCGGAATATCGCCGTCACCTCCCGCGATAAAAAACCTGCACTACACTTTCGGGAAAACGATCTCAGCAGTTGACGTGAACAGAATCAATAATCAATCAATCTGACACAACGGAGCTCTCACAACCAGTAGCAGTGTATACATTTGGGAAGGCGGGAACTTTCATAAAATGATTCTCACTGAAAGTTCGGGTTACTACTGCGAGAAGAATTCTTGGAGTAGGAGGCGGAAGATGTGCTTCGTAATATCTTCTGTTACACCACGCTTGCCTTCCTGTTCTCTTCCCTGCCATTGTATGAATTTACTTTCTGACATTTTCCCCTATAATAATTTGAATAAATATGATAATATCTTAATAATATCCTTTTATAGCTTTCGGCATAAATGACCAAACCTATGGCTCTCATTTAAATAGAAAACAGCATTATGGTAACCTATTGCCAAGGCACACATTGCAGGCGCAGACGTGACAGTCGGGTAGAATATGGCGTAGGCTAAATGAAAGCAGATATGCAGCAAATTTTAACTTCGTGCTGGAAAAGACGTAATGTCTACAAAATTTCGCCTTCTGCAGTATTTCAGTTAACAGAGAGCAGAAAACATTGTTTGAAAGTGTGGGCAGCTTAGAAAGCTCTGGTATTATATTTGTAACATAGTTCGTTGGCTGGTCGAACCGCCGAAAATAACTGGTCGAACCGTAAGATTTGATTGGATTTTACCTACGAGACTAATTAGGTGTGAACAACGGTTGACAGTACAAGGGGTAGACAATGTCACTACGAGTTGTCGCGCAGGTTCGTCTATGACGTCAGCACATTTGCGTGGAAGGCAATTGCTAAGGCAACGCCGAAAACAGATCATGGCGAGTATGCGTCCGGGCAATGGGGCGCTAAAGGGCCGGCGACCGCCTAATCGCATTAAAGAGATCTTTTTTGAAAACGTACTAATAGGCTGACGTCTTGCAAAGAAAATCTTAAACATAGGCCAACATTTCGAAATCGTATTCTTAAGGCGATTCTGAGTACTTCACCGGTAAAAATCCGGTGAATTGACACTTGACTTTCTCACCTGTCGAGCCACCATTGAGACGACGAAGAGGAGAGGCAGCGAAGGCAGCACCACTTACCCAAGAGCGGCGGCGGCGGCGGCGACGAGGACTTGGGGCCGTCGGGTGAGTGCGCCGTGGAGTTGCCCGAGTCCACGTCGGTGCTGTGGAAGCGCTCCGAGTCCGGGGAGCTGTCCTCGTCTGCGGCAGCGCGAGCGGCCCATCAGCGCTTGCCCACCCTCAGGGACCCGCGAGACCCCCTGGGACCTCTGGGACCCCCCTGAGACCCCCTGGGACCTCTGGGACCCCTGAGACCTCCTGGGACCCCTGAGACCCCCTGGGACCCTCTGGACCCTCTGGGATCCCCTGAGACCCCCTGGGACCTCTGGGACCCCCTGGGACCTCTGGGACCCCCTGCGACCTCGGGGGCACCTGAGACCTCCTGGGACCTCTGGGCCCCTTGGGACCTTCTGGGATCCCTGGAACATCTGGGACTCTTGAGACACCCTGGAACCTCTTGCACACCGGGCTTCTGGGACCCCTGAGACCCCTGAGACCCCTTGGACCCCTAAGACACCCCTGGGACCCCTGATACCCTCCCTGTGGCTCCTGATACCCCTTGCGACCTCAGGGGCACCTGAGTCCTCCTGGGACCCTTGGGACCTTCTGGGATCCCTGGAACATCTGGGACCGTTAAACTTTGACAGTTAAAGTGAGAAAAGCAATAAAGAAGGCGGTGAAGTTGCATGCCGTTCTTCTTGAGCGCTTTCGTGCGCGGTGGAAGAGCGTGGGCGTGGGCGTACGCACCTCGCAGGTAACAATTACTGATTTTTTACAATAACATTATTTTATTTTTAAAACCTTGACAGTTTAAGTGAGAAAAGCAATGAAGAAGGCGGTGAAGTTGCATGCTGTTATCCCTGACCGCTTTCGTGCGCGGTGGATTGGCATGGGCGTGGGAGTGGGCGTGGGCGTACGCACCTCGCAGGTAGCTGTGGCACTTGAGCACGAGCAGCGGCCGCGTCTGGCCGCCGATGGCGAACTGCACGGGCGGCTGGGGCGAGTCGGAGCGCTCCAGCGCCTCTCCCAGCTCGTCGGCCAGCGACAGCGCGCGCGTCGCCACCGCTGCAACAGCACACGTGCGGGCCCGCGCCCCCGCGCTCGCTCACCCGCGCCACGACTCCTTGCGCGCTCTTTGCTCGCAAAGAGAAGGGGCGGACAGAGAGCGACGCCTGTTCTATGGGATTCTAATCTGGCGTGGGAGTTCCGATTGTATCTCCTACAAATACACATGCTACTCACGGAGGTTTAGCCCAAGGCGTAAGGCGACATCTATAAACTTTCTTGATCACGTGACGAACGCCGTTATACGGTTGTTAGAAGAGCTCAAGGAATTGCGACATTGCGTCATGAATTATAACAAAATACGCATTTCATGCGTTGAACAAGGAAATTGTCTATACATAATAAAGAGTCTTGGCAATTGTGGGACATTTGAATCTTGGTACGAGTCAAGAATAAATAAATCTTCCACGTGCAATTATTTCGGAATTTCTGTCCCTGCGCGATGACTACGCGATGACTTTTCTTGAGAATGTAGGAATTAATAGCGTTCTTTATGAGCGTAAGATACAACCTAACATGAACGTATAATTTCAACTTCCTTTTTGCAAATATTTTACCGTCGACTTTGCTTCATTTTGTGTTAATTCTTACTACAGGTGTGGATGTCAGTAAGGATTAATTGAACTGCCTCACATACGAAAATCAGCGACAGAAAATGCAACCATTCCCGTTTATTGGTGTCTATTTTGCCGTTTATACCCTGACTACCATCGCGCACAATTTATGAAGGGATAAGGTCGTAGTTTAGGCATAAAATAATACGTTATAACTTCAAAGCCCATTACGTGACTTTAAGGACATAAAATAAAAAAAGGCATTGAAAAAAGTACCAATAATTTTGATTGCAAGCTTTACGTTCTTTAAAATAGAAAATACAAATACAGACATAAAAATATCCCCCCCCCCAAAATCTACAAATACAAATAATTTTCAAATATTACATATACAAATAATAATATCAAGTATTACATATACAAATAATTATCAAGGGCCTAAACAGCAAATGTTATTGAATAATCTTTAATATTGAGTAGGACTTCTGGGAAATACTTTCCAATTTAGACTTATTCTAGTATGATATTTAGGATTAGATTAGGTTAGAACAGTAGTTTGCAATATCTTTTGTTAGGCCTACTTCTTTGGACATCATGTTCTTAAAGTGTACTCTTTAAATAAAAAAATATTTGAAAAGTAAACATGTTATCATGTAATGTGTAATGTATGTGAACCAACACCGTACAAATAGTACATTAGTATTAGACAACAAAAGAACAAAAGCACAAGACATCACCGTATTCTTCACCGCAAAAACACAATGTACCAAAACGAGATATTAAAACCTGCCATGCAGTAATTACTCTTGGCGCGTGTTGCCATAGAAAGAGCTGACTTCTTCCAGTTCAATTTGCAACCGCACACCTGTGCATTTGATGCACTGGTGCACACTAGCGCAGGACCCTTATCGTTGTCCACCATCCTGCAACACCCACAAGGAAGTGCACTTCGCACTGAATGTGCAGCCTATCAGCGAAGACTGGTCACCACTCACAATCTGGTATCATGATGAATCTGGTATGAGATGGACATAATCATTGTATTACTTTTTTGTTTCAATTTATTACTTTCTGTTCAGCAATATGTATTTCAGAGCATTGAAATTTGCAACATAAGAATAGTCGTTATGGACACTAACAGTAATCTTTTTAAGAGGATTTATGAAGATAAAATTTAAGAATTAGAAAAATGTAAAGATAAGTTTGGGAAAGAAGTAAGAGAATATAAGATTACGGAGAATGAAATTCATGTTTAGGAAATTTGGAATTAATTCTACGAGAAAATGAGTAAGTTTAAGCAAGATTAAAAAATTGTGCATGATGTAATGAAGGAAGAGTATAAAAAAAATCAGACTATAATGGATTGTGGGGAGATTTAGTTTACAATGAATTTGTGTATTGGGTGCATGTAGAATTTTTCTAAAGTATCTGTTTTCAAAAAATTGAAGTTTTTGTGCATTTGATGTAGCAGCGTTTGAAGATATTGGACAAATATATGTTAAAATACGTCTAATAATTGAGTGTATATTGATTTAGCAGTTTAAACACGAAGAGTTGAGTTATTATTTATAAGAGAATTAAGTTTATGTATTTTAACAGTGTTTTTGTTTACATTTTAATATAAATTTTCCAGTTCAGTTTGTGTCTAAATGGAGACCTAAATATTTAACAGACGAAGAGGACGAAAGCCAAGAAATAGGAGTGTTATGAATGAGAAGGGGAGGAGGAGTTATTGGCTTACATAACGTAAATATTTTGACTTGGCATTTATTCCTACTGATTTTGATTCTCTAAATGTTGTTTCAAGTTGAATAATTATTAAGATATATTTGAAGTTTATTTCTAGCAAGAAGAATATTAACGTGTGAATTAATAAGTACAGTATCATCTGCAAAAAGGGCACTTTTAGAAGAAGCGAATATTGGAATAACGGATAGGTAAATATTAAATGGCTGAGGACAAAGACAGGAACAGACAGAGGGACCCCGGCAGAAATATTAAATTATGACAGAAGGAATTGTTATATTTAACCAAGAATATTCTGTTAGAAAGGAAATTTTGAATAATAGTTATGAATTAAATAGGAATAATTACAATATGAAGTTTATATATTAAACCAACAACCCAATCTTTGTCAAATGCCTTTTCTTTATCTAAAACGATTGCAAGTGAGGGTTATTTTAATGGAAAAGAAGAGTCTATGTGTTCAGTAATACGCAATAGCCGATGAAGAATATAGTGTTTTTGCGGAAGTCCAATTGTGAGGGTTGAATAATATTATTTTGAGAAGTGAATGCATAAAGTCCGCAAATAAAACAGTTTCATAAAATTTTGATAATGAAGAAAGCAACCTAATAGGTCGATAATTTGAAGGAAATCTTGAATCATTTTTGGTTTATAAATAGGTATATTTGTAGCTAATTTCCAAATATTAGAAAAATTATGAGAATGAAAAGACGAATTCAAAATATTGGTGAATGCAGCAATATACTTATTACCTAAACAAATTAATGATTTATTTGTAATAAGATCAACTTCATGTGATTTGAAAAGTTTGAGTTTTTTTGTAATATTATTCAGTAATGTAAATAAAAGAAATAAGTTGTGGAATTAGGAAGTGGCTTATATGATTATGAAGTAGAGTATTATGTATTGGATTAGCAATAAATGAAGACTAGAAGTGAGACCCCAGTAATTGAATGTATTATATTACTAGTATTATATTATTATAATTCAAATAGAATATTCCCATAGAATTAACAATGATTATTTATAGACATTAGATTAGGTCTGTTAAACACTTCCCTTATACTCCTGTTCTGATGTGTGCAGAATGCAATAACTAATCTATTTAAATTTCGCGTAAAACGTTGAAAAGAATGGATTTTAAAGCTCATTACATCAAATTACGATTTGAAATCGATTTTCTATTTGGTTCAGTTTATATTTTAACAAAAGTGTCAACCTTTGGAATCATTATTACGGCAAGGAGCATTTAAAATACTAAAATTGTTTATTGCATCATTATTCGATAATTGTATCATAATTCCCAGAATAACGTTCAGTGTAGTAGTATCGATTCTTCTTTGTTGTGTGAGAGAGAAAGGGGATGTAAAGAGGGAAAACGGTGGTGGATAAAGTTAAAGGTTAAAGATCCGTGAATAGACTTCAGGGCGCAACGAAAATGTGCAGAGTTACGATGTATCCATCAAGGCTCTTAGTACTCCAGCAACTTTTGCTTGTCACTCTAAACTCCACCTAGAGGCCTCGTTACTAGTTGGTCGAAAGAAACTTCCTCACTCACGTTCCGTGAAACAAACGGAAAACAAGCACCGTCACTCTTGTGCTTAATGAAGCCCTAGACAGATGCTGCAAGCTGGAAGCTGAAAAATGTCCTCGCTCTGAGAATCACTCCGTCTTTAAAACAACTTTTGTGCTCGTTTAGTAGTTGAACTGCGGAGATGAAGTTCTTGAACGAGTCTTTGGTTTCGTAAACGAAAATTAATTGCAAGAGCTTTCCATTTCGCACACAGTAGGGGCATAACATTAGATTTCAATTATATAAAACTAATTTTTCTATTTTTCTATTTGCGAAGATAATTCTATCTCTATCGTATTCCCCAAACGGGAGCAATAAAGACAATGAGTTGAAGGAATTTTAGTTTCCTATCGACTGAATTTCTAATTCATTTCCAAACACCTTTACATCGAATGTGAAGAATGTTATTGAAATAAAACATTTCGTTATACATTAAAAGAACTCACGAAATTAAACATTTATTTTTTCTTGACATTGAAAAGTACAACGTCAAAATGTGTGTGGAGCATAGGCTGTACTATATCCATCAGTTCTCTAGTTCAACCATATTCTCTTGACGCAAGATATTTCAGTGTTTTCACGAGCTTTCCAAGATTGCAGAGCTAGAAAACATCTCCTGCAGAAGGCAAAAAGTAATGGGCGCGAGAAAGTCGAACGACAAGAGGCTGGCAGGAGGCCAAGAGTGCATTTCGTTGCTCCCAAGAGCCAAGTTCTCACAGAGAGGACGACGAAAGTATGGCTGGCAATAACGACTGAGGAACCTGAACGATAAAATTTTGAGATACTTTTTGGTTGTAATAAAATTGATTTTCGATAGGCATCATGAGAAAGTTTGATTTTGTTTTTCTCCGTTACCTCGCGAATAAATTATTTTTTGATTATATATTTTGTGCGTTTTTGAAATGTTGATTTAAAACTACTTTTAACCGTTAAAATTCATTAAAAAAAGTTCATGAGTTTCTGCACAAGTCTCACAATTACAGAACGAATCTACGCATATTTCAAAAAACGTCGCCATGAACCAGCCGGGCCCATTACATATCCCAATTATGAAAGCGATGAGAGATGTATAGTTCACTCAGCTTGCTGGGAAATATGACGAAATTCTTAGGGAACTTGGCGGTATACTTGGAAAAGATCTCTGAAGTAAGATGCCATGAATGTAAAATTTGGAAAATATTATTGCAAAGTATTACAACCTACACCGAGATAGGTGGAGAGGTGGGAACAGGAAACAGTGTTAATATTGCATTCTGTTTTAATATAGTGTCCACTATATTATTGCAATACACTCTTGAATTAAAAAAAGGATCATCGCCATTAATCACTGACTCTAAATTTCATCCTAGTAGGAATATTAGTGTATATCACCGTAACGTACGCCGCAGGATTTGAATGTAATTAAATTATGGTAGAACATGAATAAGATTAAAAGTTTATGGTAAAATATGAATAAGAGTAAACGTTTAAACTGATTGGAGTTTCTATATAATCAAAATAAAGGACAGTTGTTTTTAATAATTAAAAATAAATGAGTATTGTTGGTAGTAAGAGAAGTATATTGTCTGTTACAATCTTCATCGAATCACACATTCTTCACAAGTGGAGTGAAATTTTGCTCATATTTTTCAGAAGTTATTAGTCATGATCGAAGCGATTTTTTATTATTCTTTATCCTCACTAAATATTTTCTCAAATACCGTGTTTGTTGAGGTTAATAGTATACTTTCCTTTATCTTTTCTCCTAGTAAAATATGTGTGCATGAGAGGAGGATAATATATTTTAATTATACCCGAATCAGTTTTTGAGCCCCAACTGATCGGGAATTTGGAGGAAAGTCGAGAGAAACAGCAGTAAATTCGAGGTTTAAATCTTTTTTCATTGCGATTGGAAAACTAATTATACGGGTTTTTTTCTCCGGGCTATTTTTCTGAATTTTAAGCACGTGTGTCTTAAAGTGCAAACATGAAAATATTAATGTAACAATACAATATAGCAAAAATTAGAATAAAGTTGTAGTAAAATCTGCGCATGAAGATGTATCACAAATCTTGGAGGTCAAAAGAATTCTGAATTTTTCAAACTCAAATCTCAATTCTTAAAGATTCCTATAACGGTTCTCCAAAGGTGAAAGGAGTGAATTGACTCCACCAAAAAATGTTAATGTAGCAAATTATAATGAAACGAAATATTAATATTGATTTTAAAATCTAGGTTTATTGTCCAATTTTTTGTTTCAATTCTTTGAATTACGACAGTTATTTGACTTGTAATTTACTATCCTTGACACAAGATGTATCTAGTAAGGATTCTGTGATTCTCTACATAACAACCAAAATACTTTATTTACTTTGCGAGATAATTAGGTAAATTTAAAATCAAATTTGAGCTCTCTAAAAAGTTCAAACAAACGTTCGTTTTTACATTATACATGCAACGAAACCCAGATATGAATTAATTGAAGTAAGTTATAAAATCTTGCTTGAAAACACTTAACCTCATTTCCAGTTCACGAATCGGCCCTCGTCCGCGTCCTCGAATCTTTCAAATTTGTCTTCTTTCATACGCTATTATTACCATTTCTAATTAATTTCACATATTTCTAAGAAAAATTGCTGTGATAATTTGAAGGAGTCGTCCATAGAGATTTTAATACAGTTATTTCATCATAACATACATTTTGTAAGTATTCAAGTGAGAATGTAAGTGAAAGGTGAAATACGCAATTACATTATTCGGGGAATTGAGTAATAGATCTACAAAACCCTTGAGAGACTAGAGTCGAGAAGTTATAATGAAAAAATAAATAAATTAACATTCGAGTTTTTCTATTGACGATCAAGCGTGAAGTTTTCGCGTCTCGAACCTCTCCGTCGATCGCCAGCTGCGCGAAACTCACGTCGTTTGTTCTTGGGGATCTCCGGGAGCCGTCGGCGCGGGCGGCGCTCGGCGGCGGGCCGCACGTCACTCGCCCAGGGAGGCGGCGGGGGCGGCGTGGCGGCGGCCACCGACGACACGCTCTCGGGCCCGAGTCCCCGCTCCCGCCCCGCGCCGCCGCCGCCGCTGGCTGCTGCTTGCCCTCGCTGCCGCCGGCCGCCGCCGCCGCCCCGCCCGCGCTCACGAGGCTGCTGCCGCCGGCGCTGCTGTTTGGCGTTGGGGCTGGGGCTGGCGTTGCGGCGTTTGCTGTCGCTGGGGGCGAGGGCCCGCGGCGGGGGCGGGGGCACGCGGCGGGGGCGGGGTGCAGGGGTTGTTGTTGTTGTTGAGCCCCAGGGACCCCAGCGAGGCCAGGGAAGCCAGCGAGTCTTCGTCGCCGCAGGGGTCGCTCTTCGGGGAGGTGGGGGAGTCTTCGTCAAGGTAGACATCGTGCACGAGTCTGCGAACGAGAGAGCAAATTAGTTAGGTACTCAAGTGTTTGAAGGTTATCAATGTAGGAAAATTACTTTTGATTCTCACTTTTTTAACAATTGAAGCAACTCTATACTTCGAATAAAACACGAAGGTCACAAGTTGAAAAGAGAGTGGGGACATTGCATCCAATATTGAGCTTCAATACCAAAAATGTATGACGTAAGGAAGCTCGCTATTCGATGACAGTGTCTTCTTCTCTTACCAGCTCATGGCCTTGAAGGACTTCCCGTTTTAATCGACTGCGTAGCGTCAAAGTTGGAAAGTGAAGTCTTTTTTTAAACAAGAGACATGGAATGTCTCGAATTTCATATATAGCAAATATTTAAATTATAATAATCAACGTTATACTATTATTCTCGTCGTTTAAACTTCAGACAATCATTTATGCAACTCTACTCCCCGGGCAACTTCGATAAAACATTTATCTTGTTTGCAAAGTATTGAAGACTAATTTCCTTTCCCTACCTCTTCTTCCAAAAGATAAGACACAATGGTTCTTTCTCGAAAGACCCATTTCTTAATTGACCGGAATGTTATATGGAGCGAACGAGCTTCTGCGGCTCAGTTTAGACCGGACACTACAAACAACCCGTCACGATGAATCGTCATCAGGAACGACCAGCACGAGTCAGTGGAAATTACGGTCATGGCGGCACTTGGGTGGAGGCTGTATTAAATTAAACTCCTAGTGACTACGAACTGAAAGAGGCGCCATCCTTGTAATGCATTTAATTCAATGTTAAATCGAAAGAGGCTCGTCAGAAATAGAAAATAAAATATATTTTACGTTTACTAAGTTTACCGCGAACGTGTGAGAGTCACTTTCCGTCTCAGAGGTGGCGTTCTACATGAGTTGTACATTATTCCTATCATCTTCAAGATAATACAGATTTGTTTCAGAAATGCTATTAAAGACACATTTTCTATATAAATGCACGTATGTTTGGCACGTTTAATAATAATATTCATTGAAAATATTATTTATAAATTGTGCATTCTAAAAACATTTCGTATTGAAGTAAAGATGACTGGATATCAGACCACACTATTAGAAATTAAGTGTATGTCACATTTAAGACATGACCTGCCAGCATTCCTTTCTCTAATTTTTAAATGTACGTATCAAACGAACATTTCATGTTGATATTACATACTTGTATTCTATGTTTTTTACGCTATTTATATTTAGCGAATAAATGAGATTGCACTTTCAAGAACATTATCTTCTTGTGGCTCGATTTAGAATTTTTATACGATTTCTTACATAACTCCTTTGACGCAGATACTCGAAATTAACTTTGATTATTTTTTTAAAAAAAATATTGACTATTTATGACTTAACGAGACTTCACGAGATCGAGGAGCATCATTTATGGTGCCTAAACTAATTCACCAATGGGACCTAAAATGCCTATTCTTTCGACAAAATAAATAAATACGTGATCGGTGTAATTGGAAAACAGTAGAGGTTAAATTTGTGTTTCTGAAATGCAGACTGAAGCTGGAATATGTATCAAAATATAATAGGTAGATTTCTGTGACTGCGTTGTTCATGAGAAGAGAAAGATAGTTAATACACTTGTTGTTATAACATTAAAATATGAACTAGTTATTAGTGTTGAAATAAAAAAGATATTTTTTTGGGAAAAGAATGATGAATAAGACAGTTAATGATGTTGTAGTATTTCAATTTTTTAGTATCTTTTAATCGCGCTCATTTTTTTAACACAAAAATTTAAAGTAAAATAAGTTTATGCAATCAAAAAGTTATTTTTTTTGTCAATTTACACTGCTTTTTTAAGAAAAGATATCTCACATTTAAGAAATGATAAACCTCCTTTGAGACTATTTTAGGCGCCTAAAATATGAAATTTGAGTCTAAAACTCCGATCTCTCGACTTATGATATATAAAAATGGATAACTTGGAAATTAATTTTCTTAGTTTCAGATATCTTCTTATTACAATTCAAAAGGCAAGTTTTATTTAAAGTGTTATCACAAACAAAAAATGTTAAAACCCTTTTTAAAATGAGAGCTAAAATGAATGTCTAAACAAAATTGTAACGAGAATATTTCATGAACACTAGGCATGCTGCTACTTTCCTAAATGGTATTTTTATTCTAGCTTATAAATGCCTCAAGTAATTGGTGTAAACTGTCAAGATAAGGGAAAACAATCTGACGAATTTATAATATTTTATGAGGTATTGTGTACATTTGATATTGTAAGAAAAGGTGCAGCGTTTCAAATTTACAGAAACAGGGCTTATTATTTCCCCCACTGGTTCGTTCGCACTCTCTCCGCAGCGCCACTCGGCCGAGTCGATTGGGAGCAAATCTGGAAGGCGTTTCATGGCAGCCCGCTATAACGACGAGGCGTATTGGCTCACGTTACCTCCGCGTCCCTTCTTCGACGGGTAAATGGACACTGGAAAGTATCGCTTTCGTCCTGGTTTTTGAAGATCATCTGCGTCATCACTTCTTAAAGAAGTTTAATGTTCGTGACACTGGAAATAATACTACTCCTGAAATATTTTTCATTTATTATTCTCCTTTCGTTAAGATGAGTAAGTCAATTAATAAATTGAGCAAATACCGCGAATAGCTGCTTTTGTCTATTTTATTAGGCATTCGTTTGAAATTTATGCGTTTAAGGTGTTCGTGTGTTGTGACCTCTGAAAATTGTCAATCCACTTTAATATTAGATAGGAGGAGGAGAAGAAGAAGAAGGAGGAGGAGGAGGTTGAGAAAGAAGAGAAAGAGAAGAAAGATAAGAAGAAGAAAGCGAGAAAGATAGGTAATGAAGCGAAAGAAGAGGAGAACATGAAAAGAAAAAGTACAAAGGGAAGCTGAGGAATAAATTAAAAGAAAAGAAAAAATGAAAAGAAAGAAAAGTTGAAGAAAAATAAGAGAAGAAAGAGGAAAAGAAGAAATAAAAAGGAAGAAAAGAAGAATTGAAGTGAAAGGGTAGTAGATAATTTGAAACATAAAAAAGGAATATAAATAAAGAAAGAAGATAAAAAATGAGAAGAAGAGAAGACGAAGAAAAAAGAAATGGATGAGCGACTAAAAATGAGGAGATAAAGAAGAAGGAGAATAAAAAGTGGAAGGAGAAGAGAAAGGCGAAGGAGAAGTGGAAGAATGAGAAGATGAAGAAAAGAATGGAATAATGAGAAGTGAATGAAGAAGAAATAGAAGAAGAAGAAGAAGAAGTAGGAGGAAGATGGAAAGCGAAGGAAAAATATATGAGAAGAAACGAAAAGAGAGAAAGAAGAGGAAGAAGGACATTGAAAACACCCCTCAATCAATGAAAAACGAATCCACTGGATATTTCCGTTAGGGCATGCACCCGTCAACAGACTTGCTCATTTTTTAAATCACATGACACTTTTTGATGTTGGCAATGCAGCTCTTTTTCAGGGATCATTAACCTGTGGAGTTCACTTCGTTTACTCTGATCGTTTTATGTGACGCCACATGTTAACCTTTATGAGAATATTTGACTTATATAACACAATACAGCGAGTAATTAGATGTACATCATACCTAAGAAATGAGAGTTTGTATAATTTTTTGCGACTATCAGTTTTTGGATTAACAAACTAAGAAAATGACTTTCATAAATTTGTGTATACAGATAAAGTGTAATATGTATAGAGATTTAATTTATATTTGAACATTTAGTCCAGTTTCCGATAATTCATAATTGTGGGAGCAGATTTTATACAAATACATATTTTAGTTTTTTAAAATACTCCATTACGTACTAATTACTTTGTACGGAATGAAAGAAGACATTCTTACTGAATTTGCGAATAAATCCAGGAAGAAAGTAACATGAGAGGTATAGTATGACATACACAGAGCAATTGAGCAAAAATCCATTCTTTAAATTAATTCATTTTTACAATTCGTACTTCGGTACAGGAGTTATAAAATAGTCGGCAGTAATAATATAAATATATTTGTGTATGTTTACCGGTATTTTGTTCACAGACGGCATCGCTTCTTAAAACCTATGATATATAAACACAAAGATTCCACACTCATGATGACAATACCTGTATCTGTTTCTTCCAAAAACGTACAAGGCAGAGCCGATCGAAGCAGCCATTCCCTTTCTGCGTTAGACACTTAAAACACACACACAGGATCGAGAAGACATCTGTTGAGTCTCAGCTGAATGAATTCTGGTAAACAGCGTCTCTTGTGCCCCAGACTCGCCCATTGTTAGAATTTGAACGCTGTAATTCACAAGCAGTTGGAAACGGCAGCTGCTCACGCGGCCCTTTCTCCGCGGCTGCCGCTGCCGTTGCTCGGGCGTCGAGGCTGAGCCGCGCCTCCCCACCCGGCCGCCCGCCCCCAGGCTCGGCACGCGAGCGCCCGCGCAACAAGCGGCCCCATCGACCCGCAGGTGACCGGGGCGCGCCGGCGCCGCCCGGCCTCGAACCGCGGCCGTCTGCCTGCGCGTCTGGGCCGGCGCCACGCCGCGCCACGTCGCGCCACGAGGAAGCATTAAGCGCGGGGAAAGTGTTCAGCTGACTCCACCATTTTGAAAACTTCCGCTGTATCCGGAATTGTGAAATGCACAATAACGTGATAACGGCAGAGGTGGCTCAGGGCACAAAATGATGCCGGTGCATTCTTTTACCGGGAGGTCCCAGGTTGAATGATTGATTGATGATTGAATGATTGATGAGAGCTTCCGGGCGCATGATCTTCCCTCGCTGGATGGCGAGATACTGCGCCGACCTACCGTCAGCTTATAGGTTCTTCCCCAAACAGGTATCTCCCACTAGCGGGGCACCGCCTCAGCCGGAACAAGCTCTAAACTCTCTACTCGTTTCGCAACATGCGAGGTAGAGTAGTACATGCTAGTATAAGTGTATGTACGTAAGAGGCGGTGATAGAACAAGGAAGAGGAAGGAAAGATCGCGCGCGGTCTATGACCCGTTTGGTAGGATACTGCTCCAGCATTCGCCTGGTGTTGATCGGAGAAACCACGGACAACTGCCGATTAAAGGAGTCGGTCGCTAGAATTCTCCTCCAAACAGCAGGTGAATTCAATCTAGATCCTGTCCCGGCTGGGGCGGTGCCCCGCTGGTTGGAGAGACCTAGGTGAGGAAAACCCCGCACGTTGACGAGTAGGTCGGCGCCGCATCTGCTTCAGACGAGTGCTCACTAACCGATGTTGACTATCTTAGCCGAGATACTCGTAGAGGGTATCCCTTAAGTCACTAACTCCCCTAAGTTCTTTCTTTTGAAAGTTGGAGATGGACGTATGGACTACCTCCGAAAGTCGATGAAAAAACGGTTTCCAAGGTAACACTAAATAGAATGGATAATGCACAGAAAGGGGGACGTGCCATTGTTCTGGCTACTAGAGAGACATAGATGGAGCCACTATAAATCAGAAGAGGCACAATAGTCCTGATCCAAAAATGTATATACAATGTATATTACATACGTGTGTGAGCATACTATACATACATATGGTACATACTAATCTCAACAGACATTCTCGCAATGCTTTAAATGTTACTTATGTAAAACATCATAAGCAGAGAATAAAATTAATTTCAGAAAAACTCATTATAACAAATAATCGAATCCCAAACATAATCACTTTATAAAATATTCTAAAACGCTCTTCTTAAAGACAAACTCTTTGATTAACAAATTCCGTGCTATTCAGGGTCGCTTCAGTTTCATTTGGACAGCAGGTGTTAAACAACTTTCGCTAACATGGAGACCCTAACGAGAGACTGGAGCAAGGCACGCCAGATTGTGTTATTATACATTTTTCTACAAAAACATAAAATTGCGCAGTCTATATTGAACAAATATCTCCAAAAAATTTCAATTAACATACAGATTGAATTTCAGTTCTGTATCACATATCGAAGATATTCTGTTCTGTTTCTGAAATTTCAATTAATTTTCCTCTAGTTTCTTTTCAACTAACCCGCATTTGATTTGAACTACCTTTTTCAGAATATTATAGAAAATCCTATGATATTACAAAAAGAAGTTAAAAAATATAATGGATGAATTTAAGACCAAATTAAGTATTTCCATAAAATAAAATTGTTGGTCGAGATGTACAGTAATAATACAAAATAGAGAGAAAACATTTGGGAATTATTATTGGCTGCACTAAAGCCTCAGAGTTGGTTAGTTGAATCCGTCAGGAAACTAATTGAAAATTAAAGATAATTGTAGAAATTCAAAATCTTAAAAACAAATCTAAAATTAAAAAAAAATTAATACAATACAAGACATTGATTAATTTGTTCATGATGTTAATGAAGAAGAAACCAACTGTAGAGAAGAAACTGTAGCTTAAGCATTTTCGTTTCTGAAACATTTATATTTCAATTCCTATGTTAGGAAGATTCATTAAAATTTCCAAATAAATTATTTTCGTAACTAGAACAGAAATTGACTAAAAGGAAACAATTCACTATTCCAAAACGTATAATTGGGACAATTTATTTGGTTTTATACCTATTATTTCATTATTTATTTATCACTGTAGAGTCTTTTTATTATATTCTCGTTTTACCAACACGACAGCTTTAATGAAGTGAATATCGTTTTCAGAGAAATGTTTAACTTTTATTAATTTAGGAGAATGGAGATTTCAAACAAGGGTAAGAGATGTTTTATGTTTACTGTTGGAATGAAGTTATTTTGATATAACTGCTCCCTCAGGTTTTAAAAGAAACAAATGCAGTGCAATATTTCCTCAGATTTTTATCTCGTAAAGCGTAAGGTGAGTCCGACCGACACATATGACATATTTCAATTTAAGTTCCATGTGTATACGGCATTATGAATATCAGTATTAAAACAAACAAACAAACAACCATACAACTATACCCGTAGAGATTTTATTGTTTGAAAATGCAAATTACACCACTTGTCTCTGATTTTGTGGGGAATGTTTGTAAATGTGAAGGGGAAGCGCGAGGCGAGTGCAGAAGTCTCATAGACGTTTCTTTAGCAAACAAGCATACATATTAATAAGTTTTCTCACGAAGTAAATGGAAATTAATATTTTGTTCCCTGTGAATACTGCAAAATCCTGTTAAGTTATATCCGTAGTAAGTAGCAGAAAACATGCGATTACATTGCACAAATGAAAGACCTACAGATAAGTTACAAAAGGAAAGTATTATATATGCCCGAAGTGGAAAATAAACAACTTAAAAAATATTAATTCATGTAATGTATTTTGTGCTAATTTCCAAAATCAATCAATTAAAAGCCTTTCAAATTGTGGAACAATATAATCACTTTTCACTGTGTCCATATAGTTACATTAACATGCTTTCTGAAAATGTAATTGAATTTTTTATATATACTAAGGTCTGTACATATATGTTCTAAATCAGGAAATTCTGCTATGCCCTGGAACTTAAAACGTAATGCTTAACGCGTAATTATAACTCAACATTTTTTAAAACGACATGAGTTAGAAGATACCTAGTTATTGAATTTGTATCATCTTACTCGTTTTAGTATTGAAAAAATCTCATTCATATATGAACCTACCCCCCCAAAAAAACTCTCTATGAAACGTTGATTACTTTGGATAAAACTATTGCTACACGCAAAACAAATCGTCCAAGGCAACAAACTACATGGAACGTAGGTGTTCAAATTGACATAATAAACAAATGTCGCCCGATAAACCTTCATTTTATTATTTTTCATGTATTATTAAAATTTATTATTTTTACTATAAAACGAGCTACTAAGAGCACGAGATAACACCTTCAAGGGACCACTTCTTATTTAAAGAAAAGTTGAAGATATTTGGTTGTTTGGAAAGCTCAAAATACTTTTTGAATGAAAACCCTTCATGTTTTAAATGTGCAGATTGGTAAGAACATGAAAAGGAAATTACCGAGAAAATTTTTTCTTAAGTAGACCTTCTTAAGTAGACTGGAAACGATTGGTCTCTCCGTGTAACATAAAGTGCTTCTGAAACGAAATCTCCACGTAAAACAAAATATCTTGTAAACTTGCTGTATAAAAAAAATCGATTACTGTATCAGTCGTTCACGGCTGCTGAAAGCCACAAGTCAAGCAAGAATAAAAAAAAAGATTGACAAGATCGCATCGTTGTGAAATATTCAGTGGACTGATTGTTGCCAGATTGTGTAGTTGCACTACTCTTTTGTGGCATTGTGAGGCCCAAGAGCTGATCTAGCAGCAAATTTGATAAGAAGCGCGCTAATCCCGGATGGATATGTAAGAAAAATCCAAGGTTTCATACCTAAAGAGATTTTGCTAAAACAGATAAAAGAAAACAAATCGTTGACGTTTGGGTTCTATCTGCCAAAGACGTCTGTAATCTATCTTTTGACTATGCATTACAGTAGGAGTAGCTTTGTCGAAGACAAATCTAAAAAGCCTGAAATGATCTTATTCTACAATGAAACTAAGGGCGTTGTAGGCAATCAGAATCGAAAGATTCATTCATATTCATTCACGAGGAATGCAAACAAAAGGATGACTACACTACAACATTGATGGAAAGAGAAACCTGTAGAAATCAAAGGAAACAAGTTTTTGGTGAAGTTGGGAAAATCCGTGTGACGAACAAATGAGAAGATGAAAACATGGTTTGCGCCGCAATATTATAATGACACTACATACGCATTCTCATAAACGGGAAAGGTTTTCTTAAGCAATTCCGACCAGAAGAAGAGGAAAATGTGACATAACATGCTGTTTAGCTTAGAACTAGCACTGCAGCTGTCTCTGCAGCAGCAACTGTGACCAGGAGGTCCTAGGGTTAGAACCCGGTGGTGGCAGATTTTCGATGGCTATGTGCCTAGCTACATAGATTGAATTCAACTGCGGTATGGAGGATAATGCTAGCGGCCCACTGCTTTAATCGCTAGTTTTAATTGGTTTCTCTGATCAATACATGGCAATTGCTGGAGCAGTATTCTAACAAACGGGCCACGGACTGTGTGCAATATTTTTTTCGCCTTCCTCGCCCTATCCTCTCCCCTTACACTGACATTGAGAAGCACTACTTTACTACTGGTCGGGAGAGCAGTCGGTAGCTTAGAGCTTTTCCCTTCTGAGGCGGTGCTTCGATGGGGAGATACGTACGAGAGGAAACCCACAAGCAGACGTGAAAGTCAGCGTCGGATATCGGCGAGGAAAGAATCACCGCCACCTCCCGGAATAAACTTTCACTACACTTTCGAAACTAATGACCATAGCAGTTGATGTTCACAGAAACGATGAATTAATTAAAAAATATCAGTTGTGTGATAACTAAAGAGAGAAAATGCAACGAGAAATTTGTGACCGTTGCGAGGAAAATGTTTGCAAAGAGAATTCGATAGCCAAAGAGGATCAAAAGTGCAACAAAGTGTAGTGCATGATTTTGCTCTTGAAGGGATGGTCATCATGTCTGAAGGATGGCGAGATCCGACGCCGACCTACTATCAGTTAGTGGGAGTTTTCTCTATTCAGTTATCTCCCACCAAC